AACACACACACACAACATACACACACAACATACACACACACACACACACACACACACACACACACACACACACACACACACACACACACACACACACACACACACACACACACACACATTGCCAGACTCACACATACACTCCCCCACCGACATCTCACTCCTTCACCTGATCCCTCCCCTCCCTCTTTCACCCTCCCCCTCCCCACCTCTCCCTCCTTCCCCCTCTCCCTCTCTCACTCACCCACTTGCTTCTCCCTCCTTCCCACTCCCCCTCCCCACTACTCTCCCACATAGCCACAGTTCCTCCACTACCTCCCCCCCCCCCACACTCTGACATACACAATACTAACCTAACATACAGAATTACATAGGTTTCCCACTCTGAGGCAATCAGGATAAAACAAAAATGGGTTGCCAGAGAGCAACAAGAAAAACCAAGGGACAGGACGAGGAAACTGCAGAGGAAGATTGGGCAGCAGAGCTCACAAAAAGGGAACATGAATGGGAAAATAAACTAGAAGAACTTAGCATGGAATGGAAGAGAGGATAGACATAGAAAGCAGGAAGTGGGAGGTGCAAGTCAAAGCAGCAGAGGCCAGGATACAGAGTTTAGAAGAGGAACTGAAAGATCTGAAACAGCCTAAAGAACTAAAGAACATTTTGGGATTGACAACAGAAACTGCTACCTCAGCCACAAATAAGGGGACTGTAGGGAAAGAAGGAGCAAAACTGCATGTAGAAGCTCAATCAGTGGAGACTGTAGTAAATGAAAGAGCTAAGCTATATGTGGAGGCCCTAACAGACCACAGCAGAGCCCAGGGAAAGCCGAGAAAGGAAAATGACAGGCCACTGAGCCCAAGTACATTAGCTAGTGAAACTGAAGAAAGGAAAGCTGCAATGGAGGAAATCAAATTGAATGAGGGGATACACAGGGATATGCAGTGGGAGAATGAAAGGGTGAGGTCAGTCTTTGTGTATGGGCTCCAGGAAGTTGAAGGGGAAACATATGAAGCAAGAAAACGAGGGAAAAAAAAGCAATTGAAAGCATCATGAAAGCAATAGGAGAAGACGACATGACCCAGCTGGAAAATTTTCGGAAAATAGGGGGGTTTGTAAAAAAAAGAACCCGGCCAGTGAAAGTGACCTTCAAGGCAGAATCGACTCGGAACAGGATCCTGCAGGAGAAAGCACGATTAAGGGACATGCCAGCATACAGGAAGGTGTATCTCGACCGCGACAGAACACAAGCAGAAAGGCAGAAACAGAGAGAGATGGTACAAAGGCGAAAGGAGGAAAGAGAGGGGATGGAGAAGACAGACAGGAGATCCCAGACACAGGAAGATCAAATACAGCCTCCCTCACAACTTCCTATAGAAGCTCCCCAACCAGGTCAACCCCAGTGCAACCAAACACTCTAAACCAAAACACCCATGCCACATCCAATGCCCCCACCCACTGCATTACAAACTCCACCCCCACAGCAACCACCCATAGTTCCTTATCTGGTCTCCCACTTCCCCAACCCCAATACACCTCCCAGACTACAATCTTAGAAAAGAAGTTGAAGGTGTGGTATACAAATGCAGATAGAATAACAAATAAGTATGAGGAGTGGCACGAAAGAATCAAGGAGACATCCCCAGACATAATAGCACTCACAAAAACAAAACTCACCAGAATAATAACAGATTCAATCTTTCCATCTGGATATCAAATCCTCAGAAAAGACAGAGGGAGGAGAGGGGGAGGAGGAGTTGCACTGCTCATTAAAAACCAGTGGGGTTTTTGAGAAAATGGAAGGAATAGATGGCACGGGCGAAAGGGACTACTTAGTAGGAACAATTCAGTCTGAGGGACATAAGGTGATAATTGCAGTAATGTACAACCCACCACAGAACTGCAGGAGGCCAAGAGAAGAATACGATGAGAGCAACAGAGCAATGGTCGACACACTAGCCGAGGTGGCCAGGAGAGCACACATGGAGGGAGCAAAGTTACTAGTTATGGGTGATTTCAATCACAAGGAGATTGACTGGGAAAACCTGGAGCCCCATGGGGGTCCCGAAACATGGAGAGCCAAGATGATGGATGTGGTACTGGAAAACCTCATGCATCAACATGTTAGAGACATTACCAGAGAGAGAGGAGAGGATGAACCAGTAAGACTGGACCTTGTATTCACCTTGAGTAGTTCTGACATCGAGGATATATCATGTAAGAAAGGCCCCTGGGAGCTAGTGATCATGTGGTTCTGTGCTTCTACTACATAGTTGAGCTCCAAGTGGAGAGAGCAGCAGGAATAGGGTGGGAAAAACCAAACTACAAAAGGGGGAACTACTCAGGCTTGAGGAACTTCTTTCAAGACATTCAGTGGGAGAGGGAACTGACAGGAAAACCAGTACAAGAAATGATGGACTATGTGGCAACAAAATGCAAGGAGGCAGAGGAGAGGTTTGTTCCCAAGGGAAACAGAAATAATGGGAAGAACAGAACGAGTCCTTGGTTCACCCAAAGGTGTAGAGAGGCAAAAACTAGGTGTATAGAGAATGGAAAAGGTACAGAAGACAGAGAACTCAGGAAAATAAAGAGATTAGCCGAAGAGCCAGAAACGAATATGCACAGATAAGAAGGGAGGCTCAGCGGCAATACGAAAATGACATAGCATCGAAAGTCAAGACTGACCCGAAGCTGTTGTACAGCCACATCAGGAGGAAAACAACAGTCAAGGACCAGGTAATCAGACTGAGGAAGGGTGATAGGGAATTCACAAGAAACGACCGGGAGGTATGTCAGGAGCTCAATACAAGATTTAAAGAAGTATTTACAGTGGAAACCAGTAGGACTCCAGGAAATCAGAGCAGGGGGTGCACCAGCAAGTGCTGGATGAGGTACATATAACCAAGGAGGAGGTGAAGAAGCTGCTATGCGAACTTGACACCTCAAAGGCGGTGGGACCAGACAACATCTCTCCGTGGGTCCTTAAAGAGGGAGCAGAGATATTGTGTGTACCGTTAACGAAGATCTTCAACACATCATTTGAAACTGGGCAACTCCCCGAGGTATGGAAGATGGCAAATGTAGTCCCAATTTTTAAAAAGGGAGACAGACATGAGACACTGAACTACAGACCTGTATCACTAACGTGTATAGTATGCAAGGTCATGGAGAAGATCATCAGGAGGAGAGTGGTGGAGCACCTGGAAAGAAACAAGTGTATAATTGACAACCAGCATGGTTTCAGGGAGGGAAAATCCTGTGTCACAAACCTACTAGAGTTTTATGACAAGGTGACAGAAGTAAGACAAGAGAGAGAGGGGTGGATCGACTGCATTTTTTTTGACTACAAGAAGGCCTTCGACACAGTTCCTCACAAGAGGTTACTGCAAAAGCTAGAGGATCAGGCACACATAACAGGAAAGGCACTGCAATGGATCAGACAATACCTGACAGGGAGGCAACAACGAGTCATGGTACGTGACGAGGTGTCAGAGTGGGCGCCTGTGACAAGCGGGGTTCCACAGGGGTCAGTCCTAGGACCTGTGCTGTTCTTGGTATATGTGAATGACATAACGGAAGGGATAGACTCAGAAGTGTCCTTGTTTGCAGACGATGTGAAGTTAATGAGAAGAATCAAATCGGATGAGGATCAGGCAGGACTACAAAGAGACCTGGACAGGCTGCAAGCCTGGTCCAGCAACTGGCTCCTTGAGTTTAACCCTGCCAAATGCAGAGTCATGAAGATTGGGGAAGGGCAAAGAAGACCGCAGACACAATATAGTTTAGATGGCCAAAGTCTGCAAACCTCACTCAAGGAAAAAGATCTGGGGTGAGTATAACACCGAGCATATCTCCCGAGGCGCACATCAATCAGATAACTGCTGCAGCATACGGGCGCCTGGCAAACCTACGGATAGCGTTCCGATACCTCAGTAAGGATTCGTTCAAGACTCTGTATACCATTTACGTCAGGCCCATACTGGAGTATGCAGCACCAGTTTGGAATCCACACCTAGTCAAGCACGTCAAGAAATTCGAGAAAGTGCAAAGGTTTGCAACAAGACTAGTCCCAGAGCTACGGGGATTGTCCTACGAAGAAAGGTTGAGGGAAATCTGCCTGACGACACTGGAGGCCAGGAGGGTCAGGGGAGACATGATAACGACATATAAAATACTGCGCAGAATAGACGAGATGGACAAAGACGGGATGTTCCAGAGATGAGACACAGACACAAGAGGTCACAATTGGAAGTTGAAGACTCAGATGAATCAAAGGGATGTTAGGAAGTATTTCTTCAGTCATAGAGTAGTCAAGCCGTGGAATAGCCTAGAAAGTGACGTAGTGGAGGCGGGAACCATACATAGTTTTAAGGCGAGGTATGATCAAGCTCATGGAGCAGGGAGAGAGAGGACCTAGTAGCAATCAGTGAAGAGGCGGGGCCATGAGCTATGACTCGACCCCTGCAACCACAAATAGGTGAGTACACACACACACACACACACACACAGCTATGAGAGGCGGGGCCAGGAGCTATGACTCGACCCCTGCAACCACAAATAGGCGAGTACAAATAGGTGAGTACACACACACATTCACTTTCCTGCCCGCAGTGAGAGAGGAAGAGAGGAGGAAAAGGAGGGAGGGAAGAGAGCCTTCTGCTTTACCAGTGTCACTACTTCTGTCAAGTAATGATAGTTGAACAGTAGTCAAAGCCTTTCTCTGCAGATAACCTTGGTAGAGGCCTTAAGTAGTACATGTACTACTATGTACTACCATGTACTGCCCTGTACCTTATTTACTATAATTTACCCACCATAATTTAACTGTCATGTAATCCAAGAACTTATCTTCGTTGGTCATCATTCACCTTCATACCCTATCACTACCCGTCTTCATCACCATAACCTCTTACTACCAGTCTTCACCATAACCTGTCACTATCCGTCTTTATCACCATACCCTCCCATTACCCTTCTCCACAATAACTCGTCTTGTGACGCAGGTGTCGGCGACGGACGGGGACGCAAGTGACGCGGGTCGACTGATCTACACACTGACGGGTGATGGTGTCGACACCACCAACGACACCAACACCAGCTTCTCCATCAGTCGTTCTTCAGGTCATCTCCACCTCTTACAGGTAGGTGAGGCGCGTCAAACCTTACCTTCTCTCTCTCTCTCTCTCTCGCTTTCTCTTGTGACCAACTACGTCGAGGAAAATAAACGTCTGGAACAAATCTGAAGTTTTCCCTGAAGCTCTTTGAGTATTTTATTTTCTTTCAGTACCACCTCTTTATATGTCTTTAAAATATATGTATATTTTAAACTTTATTAAACATATACATTGGGAACGAGAACCACTTCGAGTGACTTCACAAAACCTATATATTAAACATTTCCTCCAGCGACTCGGCGGTGGGCTGCTTGCCCAGGATGCAGCAAGCATTTCCTCTTCAGATCATAACAATGACTCTGGAAAAGGAAGTCGGTTGCGCTTTGGTCTTTGGTTTTCCTGATGAGTTTGTTACCTAACTCTTCCAGAAACTTAAGTGCACACTTGCTCTATGCTCCGAGGGTCTCTTGATACTATTGGAACGAAGTTACAGCATTGTGCCAGGCTCCTGTGTTTGTTGATCTGGGTCTCCCTGACACTAGTAACATCACCCGCTTTAGCTTCAGAGAATTTTAGGTAGTTGTCTGCCATTGTTGCCGCAAAGGTATAGTCCCAGACTGTCTTTCCAGAGTAGCATGGTTACCATCCAGGCGTTCTGTCACTGGACCTGAATACATAAGGTTCACGTTCCGGTGGGCAACGGGCTTCAGCGAGACTTTGATGATATGACTGACCTGTTTGTGTGTGACATACCTTCAGTCTGAATCATGACAGATGAAACCATAGAGCCAACTAATCAGATGATGCTCTGCTTCAATGATTATGAAAGCGGTTAGGCGAAGAGCTACGCTAATGTGAATGACCTAAGGGTGGAGGAGACTACCCAGAGAGGAATTAGAAGAAAATCTCCAGCATGTGATGCCTTCACCACTACGAGGCAAACTTTGTCCTTTCCTTAGGCATTGTCGAGCAACGACCGGACACACTATGACCAGAGACATGGTAACGAGGAGGAGGAGGAAGATGGAAATGGGTTAAGGAGGTATCGCGGAAAGAAAAGAAAAGGTATAGAAGTATAAGTGGACCATCCACAATCAGTGAATGTGTGTGGTTTACTTGAAAAATGTCTACATGTATACTCGTGCGGTAGGTGTGGGATATGTTTTATCATGGTGTCCTGCCCTCGGCTAGGCTAGGGTGTCCTGCCCTCGGCTAGGCTAGGGTGTCCTGCCCTCGGCGGCTAGGGGGGCTAGGGTGTTCCTGCCCTCGGCTAGGCTAGGGTGTCCTGCCCTCGGCTAGGCTAGGGTGTCCTGCCCTCGGCTAGGCTAGGGTGTCCTGCCCTCGGCTAGGCTAGGGTGTCCTGCCCTCGGCTAGGCTAGGGTGTCCTGCCCTCGGCTAGGCTAGATTGTCCTGCCCTCGGCTAGGCCAGGGTGTCCTGCCCTCGGCTAGGCCAGGGTGTCCTGCCCTCGGCTAGGCCAGGGTGTCCTGCCCTCGGCTAGGCCAGGGTGTCCTGCCCTCGGACTAGGCCAGGGTGTCCTGCCCTCGGCTAGGCCAGGGTGTCCTGGCCCTCGGCTAGGCCAGGGTGTCCTGCCCTCGGCTAGGCCAGGGTGTCCTGCCCTCGGCTAGGCCAGGGTGTCCTGCCCTCGGCTAGGCCAGGGTGTCCTGCCCTCGGCTAGGCCAGGGTGTCCTGCCCTCGCTAGGGGCCCGGGTGTCCTGCCCTCGGCTAGGCTAGGGTGTCCTGGCCCTCGGCTAGGCCCAGGGTGTCCTGGCCTCGGCTAGGCCAGGGTGTCCTGCCCTCGGCTAGGCCAGAGTTTTCCTGCCCTCGGCTAGGCCAGAGTGTCCTGCCCTCGGCTAGGCTAGGGTGTCCTGCCCTCGGCTAGGCCAGGGTGTCCTGCCCTCGGCTAGGCTAGGGTGTCCTGGCCTCGGCTAGGCCAGGGTGTCCTGCCCTCGGCTAGGCTAGGGTTTCCTGCCCTCGGCTAGGCCAGGGTGTCCTGCCCTCGGCTAGGCTAGGGTGTCCTGCCCTTGGCTAGGCCAGGGTGTCCTGCCCTCGGCTAGGCCAGGGTGTCCTGGCCTCGGCTAGGCCAGGGTGTTCTGGCCTCGGCTAGGCCAGGGTGTCCTGGCCTCGGCTAGGCTAGGGTGTCCTGCCCTCGGCTAGGCTAGGGTGTCCTGCCCTCGGCTAGGCCAGGGTGTCCTGCCCTCGGCTAGGCTAGGGTGTCCTGCCCTCGGCTAGGCCAGGGTGTCCTGGCCTCGGCTAGGCTAGGGTGTCCTGCCGTCGGCTAGGCCAGGGTGTCCTGCCCTCGGCTAGGCCAGGGTGTCCTGCCCTCGGCTAGGCCAGGGTGTCCTGCCCTCGGCTAGGCTAGGGTGTTCTGCCCTCGGCTAGGCCAGGGTGTCCTGCCCTCGGCTAGGCTAGGGTGTTCTGCCCTCGGCTAGGCCAGGGTGTCCTGCCCTCGGCTAGGCCACGGTGTCCTGCTTCAACAAGGCTGTGTTCCGCCTTCCGTCGTCTTAGATGTTCAGGTTGTCGAGGGTGCCACAATTGTTAGGTATTTATCAATTTTGCACGTAGACTGCCAGGTGTTATCCAGTATTCATTATTGTCTGGTACATCACTCAGTATTCTTGGCCTTGGAAACTCATCTTACTCTTTGTTACAAGATCATCATGTGTATACTTTGCGGTAGTGAAAGTATCACCGTCTGGGGTTCATTTTCTTTGTCGTGTAAGTAGAGTTCATGCACTCTATACTGTATCACTGTTCATTATTTGTTGAAACTGTCACTAGACATAACCGTGTTACTGTTGCAGTTTCTCACGACACTGTCAGTAGTCACCAGTGTTACAATCCTACACTGTACATCATTGTTGTTCCTAAGAGGGAAGATGATTTGCTGCTAATAACTTGTGTTGTTTCTCCCACTGGTCAGGGTCTGGCCATTCACTTAGCTTGGCCACAGATGGCTGACCAGGCAAGTGACAACAATGAACGACGAGTCTGATGAACTGTGATTAATATCCTTCTAACCTGTCGGTTCTCTGAACCAGTTATCTGCATTCCTCCTTCCTCGCCTCGAGGCCACTTCACATGGTGTTTTGTTGCCTGCTGCTGGTTGTTCCTTGACTGATTCCTTGGGACTTGCTCTTACATTCGTCAGTAACATAGTCCTGACAAGTTTTAATTAGATGACCAGGGTCTGGTCCTTGAAGGAGGATCTGGTTATGTACTCTGGGGTGACTGCACCATCCCTGGTATGGGATGGATAATTGCAGTCAGCCTGGGACTGATGCAGATCAGCGAGGAGGTCATGAGAATCCATCCACTCCATGATCTACGCCCTCATGAAGCTCGAAGTGAGCCGAGATGTTGATCACTGTGTCCCATCCCTGTTCAACGACTCTTTGGGTCTTAGGTAAGATTCGTCAGGAAGCAGGAAAAACTTTTCCTTGGAACTACCTTCATCTGCCTTATTTAAGACAAAAAGAGTCCCTTCGTTTCCATGATTGGCTAGCTCGAAACAGCCAATCTTAGTGCCGATTCTTAAGCATGCCTATAACCAATCAGCAATTTGTGGTTGCTAGGCGATGGCTTATTGCTTGCAGATGCATTACCGACTGAACAAACCTTGACCACGCAGCCAGTCACTGCCGTGCGCTCAGCAGTCACTCCCGCAAAATCACAGCTGTCCCAGCCAATAAATATCACTGTTTGAAATAGTTTTCTTTTATCAAATCATGCATGATTAAGCAGCTAATTATTATCATGTTCGTAACAGTATAACAATTTAAAGTAACAGAAACCCTGAGGATCTTGAATGAGATTGATAAAAAAATGTGAAAACAAATTGAAAGAAGAATTGCTCGCAATATTAAAGTAAACCTTAAAGAATTTATTGAACATGGTAAGAGGAAGAAAATAATGAAAATTACGAGAGGATCTTTCATCGACTGTGACGCTTAAATGACTTTCAGCAGTAAAAACAATGACCTTTGTGCTGTACTCTGCTCGGTCTGCAGTCCATCATGACACGAGCAAGAAATTAATGCTTCTTTATAGGAGGTGATACCAACACACTCAATATTATCAGACTAGGCAGAGTAAACGTTATGATATCTAGAGAAGCTCAGCATAAATCATTCAGGCACGACGAATTAGTAACTCTAACTTTATATCCACTAAGAGTACAATTTACTAAATTATTACAAGTCCTTGCTTAACATCACGGTAGATAGGATATGAAAATGATTCATTAGTCAGAGGAAAGGGAGAGCGAGATACTTTAATGTTAAAGGTTGTTATGTGACAATGACTATCTTGCCATTACCAACACTGAACATAATGGGGGAATATATCACATAGTTAAAGATGAATCACTGGAATATGAAAATTGTGCTTTTAGATCAGGGTTTACCTTGTATACAAAGTAAATGTTAAATGTTATCCAGGCATTTCAAAAGTGCAAGAGCTCTGGATTATATATCAACCAACCTTCAATTAAATGACTGTAAACACGCCATTAAGGTTGCAAAATCATGAAAATATTTATTTGTATTTTTAGAATTAGTGCCAATTATATTCAATCTAAACTCCATTGTATATAGATGTTGCAAATTTGGGTCTCCATGAACAGACCTGAGAAATAGTTTTCTTGTCAGCTTCAAAATATTAACATTTATGTATTGTACCTAAAAGACGGCTAGTGCAGTGTGTTAGTGTTAATTTGTCAAACTTATTTTTAAAAGTGTAATTTTTTTCTTGACATATTTGGGTATGGCTGTTTTTGAGCATCTTCAGTCTTTACTGGATAATGCCGTGTAAATGTAGTTTTTTCACCAGTTGTGGCCTTTACTGAAGGAAAGATTTTTAACGACTTTGAGCTGTGCAAATTTAATTTACCAGAAGAATTAACTAAATTGGTTTCCATGCAAGAACTGGAAAATGCTTCTGATCGGCTTCATTCTCTCTCTCCCCTCCCTCTCACTCTCACTCCTCTCCATCTCTCTCACCTCTCTCTCTCTCTCAACTTCCAGCAAATGTACTACACTCTATCTTTCTCTCTCTCTCTCTCTCCTCTCTCTCTCTCTCACGGCACACACAACACATACACACACGACACACACACTAATCAACATGTGCCAAAGGCAAAGGTAACTAACGCTACAATATTATAACTTTTCAGCCAGGACCCGGGAAGCACCTACGGGTCTGCTTGCTGGGAGCTGAGATCACAGTACGGACGGTCTCCACACAGCAACCCAACGTACACGTCAATGTAGGGACATCAACGACAACGCTCCCTTCTTCCCTAACCTCACCATCAATGCCAAAGGTCCTGAAAACGACAGAGCAGGTAAGTTAAGCAGACATAACTGTGTAAGGTTAATGTGGTACATAACCTTCTACTTCAGCGGGAAGGGTTTATTTAAGGCTACAAGTGACCTATTTAATGCTTGTTAGAGAGCCTTAATCCTAAAAATAGGATTAAACACACACACACACAATATATATATTAATATATTAATAAAGTATATACTATATATATAAATATAATATATATTATATATATATATATACTATAGATAATATCTTTTCTGTCAACAAACCGGCCGTATTCCACAGGACAAGGGTGCCCCCCCACCCCCAAAAAAAAAAAATAAATTTAGTAATATAGTGGAAAGGTTACTAGTCCCTTCCTCCCGACATTTTAAGTCTCCTTATTACGACACTTGTGTTTACAGAGGACGAATTCTGTTTCACTTCCTCATGGAGATAAGCGGAAATAAACAGAACAAGAACTAGGAAGAAAATAGAAGAAAACCCAGAGGGTTTGTAAATATATGATTGTAGATGCATGTGTAGTGTACCTAAGCGTAAAGTAAATATAACAAGAGGTACTAAAACCTATAATATATAATAATTATATATTATATATATATAATATATATGATTATATAAGTATAATATATAAATTAATATATATATCTTATACATATCTATTATAATATATATATTTATATATATTATAATTTATATATATATATAATATAAATATATAAGACAAATACATTGGCCAAACATTCACAAAAATACAACAGAAAGTAAACATAGTTACGTTCAAGCTTATCATCTCCCTAATTCGTCCGCTCCCCTGCGGTGGGCCGCGTGCCCAGAATGCTGCAGGCATTTCCTCTCTGGATCGCAATACTGATCTCTAAAGAGGAAGCTGGTCGCCCTTGGTCCTTGGTTTCTATGATGAGCTTTCACCTAGCTCTTTGGGGGAACTTTAGAGCACATTGTCCCATGCTCCAATGGGTTCTCCGACCTATTGGAATGAAGTTATAGAGGGGGAACGGTCTTCATATTTTCGGATCTTCTGGGTCCCCTGTGGGCTGGCAGCTCCACCCCCTTCACTACAGAGTATGGAAAGCAGGTGTCTGCCAATGTGGCAGCGCAGGTGTAGTCCCAGGCAATCTGCTTTCCATCCTTCCAGGGTAGCATAGTGGCTCCATCAGGACGCTTTTGACTTCCATCAGACCTCTGCCTTGGGGTTCCCGTTGAGCTGGGCAACGGGCTGTGGCGAGGCTTCTCTTTATTATGTCATTGAACCTCCTCATGTCTGGCATACTTCCCTTCTGCTGTGTGACACACGAGACCATGAAGTCCGAATTGATCAGCTGTCGCCCTGCCGCAAATACACCTATGTTCGGTGTATAATATATATATATATATATATATATATATATATATATATATATATATATATATATATATATATTATATATATATATATATATATATATATATATATATATATATATATATATATATATTATATATATATATTATATATATATATATATAATATACATTATATATATATATATATATATATATATATATATATATATATATATATATATATATATATATATATATATATATAACTGTGGCAAAGGACCTTAATATGTACTCCCCTGATAATGGTTGTGGGTGTTGAATCTCAGGTTCCGTCCCTGCCTGTAGATTGCCTCGCGGGTCTGTCGTATCTATGCTTAAAACTGTATATATGGTGCTTACTTCCTATGTCATTCCACTTTTTGACCATCCTAAAGCTAGAAAAAAAATATAGAATCATTATTTCATATTTGTGCCTCTTTGTACCTAATCCTCACCTTACAAACAGTTTGTTCCTTTCTGGCTTATCAAGTTCTCTAAGTTTCTTTTACTGTGTAACTATATTTTCCCACTGTTTTCTTTAAGTTCAGTTATTTTAGCTTCTCGTAGGTCTATTCTCTAAACTCGGGGACTAGTTTTGATGTGAATCTTTGGACTTTCTCAAGTTTATTTAGAAGCTCCGGGTATGTGCCTCGGAGATGTAACATAGATCGTATATGTAGTCTTGAATGATTCTTATCTTTAAACGGTTCTCAAGTTAGCTGCGCGCGCACGTGCCGCCAACGCTGTACTGTTGATATGCACTTCACTGACACGTTTGGTATTATACTTACCGTGAAGACCTTGTCTGAGGGCGAGGTTTGCAGCGTCTGTTCCCTCGGTCTAATGATACAACACATGTGCAACAGTTAAGTATCTTTATTCTGAAACGTTCCGCCTACACAGTAGACTTTTTCAGTCGGATACAGAGGAAGTATGAGAAGCAGTAGAGATGTAAAAACGATGTAATCAGCCCATCAGTCTTGAAGACTTAGGTCTGAGGTGGTCAGTCCCTCACCCTGGAAGAGTTTTGCTCCATTGTCTGAAACACTGTGAAGCTGAAACAGCAGTGTGGAGACTTGTATACTGTCAGAGGTGAGGCTCAGATAATCTTGACAGGAGAGACGGAGCCCACTAGTAGAAGTAAGAATGTAATCATTGAGAGAGCAGGTCTTTCTCAAATTCATACCTTCTCACTTGTAACTAGTGGTCAGGCAAAAATGTTATCGAAGGTGTTCTCTGTACCAAAATAATACCGTTGGGTTGCAGTGTCTTATTCTATGCCCCCGTCTCTGCTTTCTTTGACATTTCTTGATTTTCCTAACTTTTTTCTTGTTTGGATTTTAGTAGTTATTTGATCACCTCTGTAGTCTGCCTAACTCATGTTTTTTTAGTTGTAATTCTTAGTTTTTTAACATATTCAACAGTGATGCATAAGATTTTATAAAATGTTTGTGTATTAATAACAGTGCTGGTCCTAGCAATAACCCTGTTCACTTCTGCTTATTTTGATGCCTCTATTTTGCTTCCTTCTCATTAGGTGCACTATTCTGAATAAATATATTTTAGTGTACTTGCTTCTTGTTTGCGGATCAGCAGTCTCTGATGGTGGAACAGTGTCGAATGCTTTGCAATCCAGAAACTTATAATCAATACACGCTTCTCTTTCCTGCTTACACTCTCACCATGTCATAGAGCTCCCGTAGGTTTGTAAGACAGGAGAGTTCTCTCTTAACCCCTGAAGATTCCCTTTAATTATACATTCTATCAGTGTGTGTGTGTGTGTGCGTGTGCGTGTGTGCGTGTGTGCGTGTGCGCGTGTGTGCGTGTGCGTGTGTGTGTGTGCGCGCGCGCGTGAAACGCAGGAGGCTCGATCGTGCGACATCCACACTGAAGTATAGTGTCAGACTCGACCTACTCATCCATTCTTCAGGCGCTCCAGTATCCGCCTCATTATAGTCTCAATCACTCTGGGATGTGTTATCCAATGTGACTAAGACGATATTAAAATTAAACGAGACTGTATTTAAAATTATCTTGGACAATACATTCAGATAAATTTTAATTCATAGATTTTCTTGCTGAAACGTTTTAAACATTGTTTCTTTGCCCATCCTTACATTTCCTAAGGTTTCCATCATCTGTTATTGTATGTCTTATTGTCTTTTGCTGAAATTAACATGAATTGTATTACAAAAAATTCAGTATTATATGTCTTGCCAAAATAGCCGAATTGACCGATTAAGCATAAGTGACTTGAAAATTACCTTTTCTAAAACAACTGGATTCACATACATTTGCATTTAAAATATAGCAAAAAATTAAATTTGACCACCTAACTTGGAGACCGCATCTCACTTGTTATAATGAACGTTATTTATTTTAACATAATTCTGCTAAACATATTTGAGATTAGTTTAAATTTATTTAATATCATGGTAAGTAATGATATAGATTTTCGTTATGTTCAAGTTGATTTTCACTAATTTATTGCATTCATTAATTTTCATTCATATTATTTTGCAAAAATGACCGTTGTTTTGTAGGTCTGACTCAGATTCTGGTGTTACACACAGTGCAATAAGATCACAGTAAACAGGTGATATCACAATATACAGAACAACCACTGTGGAAAAAAATAGTGAACTTCCAAGCGATTTCGTGATTTCTCACATTATCTGTGTGAAAAATAATAATGTAAGAAGTCACGAAAACGCTTGGAATTTCACTATTTTTTACAGTAGTTATTCTGCATGTGCATATATATATATATATATAAATATATATATATATATATAATTATAATAATATATATATATATATATAATATATAATGCAAAACAACCACTCTGAAAGAATAGAGAAATTCCAAGCGCTTTCGTGACTACTCACATTATCAAGGAACTATTAGTTCCTTGATAATGTGAGTAGTCACGAAAGCGCTTGGAATTTCTCTATTCTTTCAGAGTGGTTGTTTTTGCATATTCTGAAATCACCTGTTTACTGTGATCTTATTGCATATATATATATATATATATATATATATATATATATTATATATATATATATATATATATATATATAATATAATTAATATATATAATATTATATATACAAAAATCAGTGTTTTAAGAACATATATGGTCCAACTTGTATTTATCATTTCATCAAAATCATAATTTCCACTAACATATTTCCTTCAAGTGAAGTTCCTTGATGCCGATGAGAGCTCTTGATCCAAGGAAATGAACCTGACTTCTCCTGCTTTGGATCGAAGTTGATTGCTTCCCACTCTACCAAGCTAAACTCGCAAAGGAAGCGATAAACCCTATGGGTTTAGCGCTTCCATTGTGAGTCAGTAACAGTCATAAATTGATGACTTACATTAGTGAACCCAAGTAATGTACACGAAGAACTGTCTCCTTCGTGTGTACACTCAAGTGACGGTAGAGGCGCTGATACTGGCATTTCTCATCCCAAGTGAGGAACTCTTGGTCAGAGGAGTTGGAGCTACTCTTTCCTCGGGTCAAATATGACTTGCTATCATTCTCCAGACACTGTATCATACGTACGGGTTTAGTACCTTTTAGTAACAAATATAATAATAATAATATGTGCTGTCATGCCTCGCTCAAGGTACGGCGGAACATTTTTTAAGAATATGTGAGCTCATAAACTTAAAAAAATATGGATAACTATATTTTGCAGCTTCACATTATTTTCCTCTAATAACAATATTCATGACTTTGCATTTATCTTTGTTGATCTGTTTTCTATATGAGTCCTGTTAATTTTAAATATTTCCTCGTAAAAAATATATGAAAAAAGTCTTCTCCCTTCCATAAATTGCATGATAATGAGCTGTACACATCAACAAAAGTATATCTCCCTTTTTACGTAAATTAAAACTACAAACAAATATATTTTGTTTCATCTTTGCTCTTTAATTCAACTGTAAAACTTCGACAATAATTTTTTTCCACACTGCTTCTAGGCCAGTGTTGTTTCCAGTACTGTCCCTCACACACTTGTTAATTTTCAACACCCCCAAATTATATGTTGTCCTCTAATGTAAATACATTTCAAACTACATTGTCTAGAGTATTCTTTTATTAATAAGTGAATGTGTTTAGGAGAATGAATGTATTGCGGAAGTGAATGTATTGAAAAGGATATAATAAGGATATGTGCAATAAAGGTGTGTATGGAAGGAGCGAATGTATTTATATTCTTGGAGTTTGATATACAGTATCAGCAGATGTATCTGTGAAGGATGAGAAAGATTCAGTACGTATTCACGAAGGAAGGTTGAAGAGTTTTGGAAAATTTGGCAGTAAATGGAATTAGGATAATGCATCAGAGCATTATGGAGTTGAAGCTTGTATATGTGTTTGAGCTTGGTATTGATGATGTTGCAACGAGGCAAAGATTGGAGGCACTGGAAATGTGTTGTCTGAGATCCGTTTGTTGTCAATGTTATGTAAAGAATGCGGAAGAACGAAATTTGAATATGGCGTAGTATCTGATGTTAATTTAGAGAGTGGAAGAGAGGTTGTTGAGATGTCGGTCGTGTACGAAGAATTGAGCAAGATAGATTGATAGTGTATACATCTGAGGCGTATTGCACGTAATGCAGGTCACATCCGAGGGAAACAAGCATGGCAGGTTGACAGATATGCATCGAAATGAAAGAATTTGAAGCATCCAGCAGTTGTGTGAGCGTGTTACATGAGAAGAACTGGTCTCGTGTGCTTTAAGTTATTTAGTGTGCTGTTAGAATGTGACCAGAGTAACATCTGTGAAGGGCTCGTAAACCGTCTAGTCTAACTGAGTTTTGGAAGTTGGAAAGCACAAGGCCTTTACTTTCAACATAGGATAGTGATGTGTGTGCCTCTGATGAATGTGGTTTCTTCTGTGGGTCATTTTATCGTAGTTTAGATGTATGTTTATATACATAATCCATAATAACTTGTAAAATAATTCGGATGAACTTTAAGTGTTTTGTTTGCTATTCTTTATTTAGCGTCTTACTTTTTTTATGAAACAGTTCTTCCTCACATTTTTTTTATTAAACTCTTACTAATTTAGCAATTTCTTTTTCTGCTTTTGTTGGATATATCTTTTCGAGTAGATACTTTACAGTCTTGTTTATTTAAGGACTTCGTTATTTAATGATTCAGGAATTCACTTATCATTTGCAAATATGTTTTAAAAGAATGTTTCGGTGCTATTTCATTTGTATCTCTTCGTCTATAGTTTTCAATATTTTTACTGAGTTAGTACTGACACTACCTCCCAGCAAGTCACTTTCTCATATGCGCTGCATCAATTTTTGTTCTTTGTGAATTTTTTCCTCACTCCCAAAACTGATCGTGTTTCTGTCTCTTTTATTTCGTGATCCTATAAATGTCGAGGTGGAGGCTAAGCCAGGGGTATCTTAGTGAAGCCTTGGTCTGGTAGAGGTGAAGAACCGGGTGTAGGTAATGAATACTAGGTTCCTGCTGGGGTCTGCTAAAGGTAACCAGGCATTGGTATGGTAGTGAAAATTGGGCTGTTGCTGGATTAGAGAGGAGTGAAAGAAACAGCGAAAATTACTGTTGAACAGCAGAGGCGAGACTCGAGGGACTAACAAGCGAATGTATAATGGGTCCTTGACATGTATGTATATGTGCAGGAATGTACATATGTTTAAAAAATATACACATGATTTACGTAAATGCAGATTGCCACAAGTGTGGCAACTTGCATTACCAAAAATAAATGCATGCATCCACACACGTGTGTGACTGAGCCTGGTATGGATGAATAAGTCTCAACACCCATACGTGAGTGACAATGGTCCAGGTATGGAAGTGTTACCACACACACACATGACTGACACTGATCCTGGTATGGAAGTGTCACAACACACATGAGTGACGCTGGAGCTGGGCTTGTGTTACAGCTGGGACAGAGGTTACACGAGTGGAAGCCACAGACTACGATGACCCACTGGAGGGCACCAACGCAGTACTCACCTACTCCGTGGAAAAAAACGTCATCGACGAACACACAGGTCAACCCATCTTCACCATCGACGCTCACACTGGCAGGTAACTCCTAACCTCAGTGACTTAAGCCCTGAATTATAGTCAGTACAGACGAGAGAGAGTGTGTGAGTATTTAATGTAGAACTAAAACATTTAATCTCCTTAATTCATCTTCCTGATCCTTCTATACGTGCTTCTACTCGTATTCTCACGTTTCCTGCATTTGCCCTTGCTGCTTCTCTTCTTGCTATTCATATCCTTTGCTCCTTCTCTTCCCTTGCTCCTCATTTCCATTCTCTTTCTATTGTACCTTACTTGTCTTGTTCCTCGGTCATTTTACTTTTGTTCTTGCCTCATACAGAATCAGCACTGCGTTGTGTTGCCTGGACCGGGAACGGACGCCCTTCTACGCTATTCAGGTGGTGGCCTCTGACGGCGGCGGTCTCAAGGGTCAGCACCTCACACGTTTCCTTGCTGCTGCCTGCTGAAGGGTTTGCTAGTACTATACTCTGACGCTGTTATACTTGCTTGAGTATACGCTCTTATTATTCTACTAGCATATAATCAGAAGCGACTTCAGAATTTCTATATAGGAGAGGCTTAGGAGTGGCAAACTGGTTGGAAAATGAGGCTAAGAAATTTGTCTTGAAACTGTATTAGTGTTACTTTTATTTGGGGGGTTGAAGGGCTGCAGCCCCCTAGTTCAACTTGGCGCCTCTGCTACATATAATTATGTTCTATCATTGTTATGCTAGCATTTAGTATACTCTGTTGTTACATTAGCATATAAGTATACACTGGCATTGACGTGGAAAATCCACATGTAAAAAGAAACACAGAAAAACCGAGAATGTGTATTTGAATCTGCGACTGAGATCATCTTCAGCAGTGAAGATGATCTTAGACGAAGATAGTCATTTTTTTTACACTGTTTACATGTGGGTTTCCAGTGTGCACTGACAAATGTCCATTACACTTTGATATTTCATCATACTGAGGTAACATTATGCTGGTATACAAGGTGCTGTTCAAAGTTCCCCTCGTTAACGAGGACATTTTCCTCTAGCAGATATATTCGATGAACTTTAAGTTAAATACAAACCAAAGGAATTTCTTCAAGAATTATTTGAACTCTCAGTTATGTTTCCTAATATTACATTTGCATTGTGTATTTTCTTCAAATTTAGTAACATTTATAGCTTCAGTGAACGCACCATCAATGGCACGAAGCTTAATTTACCCATATTATCAGTGCCTTTGAGAAAAAGAAAAGTCTTAACTGATAAATTATTAAAATTATGCCCCATATTTACTTGGTGCCTTATTTTGCAATACAAGTATCTTTTCTTAATGGTTAGGTCCCAGAGTCTCAAGAAAAATCGATGACCGAACAAAAAATGATTTTCAAAGAATTATTTGAATGTGTACATTTTACATCTTTTAATCTCCTGGGGTTACAGTAGGGCGCCTTCCCCAAAAGGGACGGGGCTTACATAAGGCGAGAAAGATGTCGAAATTTAAAGGGGTTTTTAAAACGGTGCCAATTTTCATCAAACCAATGGCCTCCCACCCTCAAAGACCAAAAAACCAAAATTCTTTTCCGGGGAGTTGTGTGTTTTTCCAAAGGGTTATTTTCCTTTCGGAGTTTATACAGGGGGTTCTGGGGGGGGGGTTTCAGGAGGTGGTGTTGGGAAAAGACCGGGGCCGGTTTCCCGAAGTTTTTAAAATAATAAATTTACTAAAAAAATTTATAAAAATATTAAAAAATTTTTTTTATTTTTTTTAATTTTTTATTAACTTTATAATTTTCTTAAATTTAAAAATTTTTATTTAAAAATATTCTTATTTTATTATATATAATTATATAATATATAATATTATATAAAATATATATAATATAATATATATAAATATATATATATAATATAATATATAAATTTATATATATTAAATTATTATATAATTATTAAATATTAAATATATATATATATATATATATTATATAAAATATATATATTTTAAAATATTTTTATATTATTATTTATTTTGTATTAAAATATATAAAATTATAATAATTATGTATTATATATAATATATATAATATATATATATATAAATATATAATATATATAATATATAAAAAAGTAATATATTATATATATATATAATATTAATATAATTTATATATATATTAATATAATTTATATATATTATATTATTATATATATATATATATAATATATATAAATATGTATAAAAATTTTATATTATTTTATAAAATAATATATATAATATATATATAATATATGTATTTTATTATATATATATAAATAAAATTTTTATATATTAAATAAAATATAATAATAATATATAAAATATATATATAAAATGTATGTTTTAAAATATATAATATATATATGTATTTTTTATATATTAAAAATATTATATATATATGTATTTTTTATGTATTATATATATATATAAATATTTTATTATATTTTATTATAAATTTTTTATAAATATATAATATAAAAATATGTAAATATATATTTATATAATGTATAAAATATATAAATATAAATAATATAATAATATAAATATTAAATATATTAATTTTTAAAATTTTAATTATATATATATATTATATAAAAAATTTATTAAAATTAATAAAAAAAATTAAAAAAAAATTTAAAAAATTTTAAAAATATAAATTAATAAATTTAAATTTTTTATAATATATATAATATATTATTAAATAATAAAAAAGAATTTTAAAAATTTATAAATATATATTATTATTATAATAAAAAAAATATAAAAATTTTTTAAAACAAATTTAATAAAAATAAATATAATTTAATATATAAATAATATATATATATAAAATATAAAAATTTAAACAACTCGGCGTCCCCCCCGACAGGGTGCCCCAAAAAAAGAAAAAAACCCCCAAAAAGAAAATACTTTCATCATCATTAAACACTTTCCCCAACTCAACTTTATCACTGCTTTTGCAGAGGTGTCAGAATAAAAACCCTTAAAGCATATACGAAAAGAACAAAAATTTCCCCCCAAAACTGCCAATACCCCAAACCCCCCCTTTAAAGTGCGGGCATTGTATTTCCCCATTTCTATGGGGGACTCAAATCCGACAATAAAATAACCGGTTTTCCCCCGAACCCCTTCACAAAATATTCCCCGCTAAACACTCCAACAGTCGTCAGGTCCCCAAATATCATTCGTCTCCATTCACCCCCCTAAAACACGTCATGCCCCCCTTGCTGGGAAGTCCAAGCCCCTCGCCCCAAAACCCCCCTTTACCCCCCCCTTTCCAACCCTTTCGAGGACGACCCTACCCCTCTTTCCTTTTCCCCCCTTTGATTTATATGCTTTCCCTTTTATTTTACTTGATCCCTTCTCCTAAATGCCAAACCACCTCAAAAAACCCCCCCTTTTTCCTCTGAAAATGCTTTTATTAACTCCAAACCTTCCCTAATTTCCCCACCCAATTTTCTCATAAAAATTTTTCCCCCCCACTTGCCCCTTTAAAGGACATTCCACGCCTCCAACCCTCTCCTCGCTGCTGCATTTCACCCAAGCTCAATCCCATATAAGTTTTTGGTACTCTTACTTTCATACATTCCCCTTTTTTGCCTCCATAAAAACTTTTTGACTCCATTATACCTCAACGCACCCCCTCCCTTTTTTCCTCACAATTCTAGATTAAACCCTCCTTCATAAACTCCCCCGACACGTCAAACCAAAGTACGAAACATTCATTTTTTCCATACTCCTCCTCCCCCAATTTTATACCCAATTTTTTTTTTACTAAATCAATTTGATACCCTCATCACCTTTCTCTTTTTTTAAAGTTCATTCAAATTTCAACCCTTTTCCACATTTTCAAACCATCCCTAACCTTTGCAAATTTTTTTTTAGAATCTCCCATAAGCCAGTATCATCACAAAAAAGTAAAGTGTCAATCCCTTTTGAATTTGATTTCCCCCTAATTTAATCCCCCCCCCTCTCCCGAACACCCAGCATTTATTCTTTTACAAACCCCCTCTATAAAAAAATATTAAACAAAAGGTGACATTACACATCCCGTCTAAAGACCCACTTTTCCGGGAAGTATTCTCCCTCTCTTCTAATACCCCAGCCGGGCTCACCCTCAAAAAAAAGCCTTTACGCATTTTGTAAACTTACCCCCTATTCCATTACTTTCAACATCTCCCATTCTCCCCTATCCACTCTTTCCAAGGGCCCTTTTTTAAATCCCTAAAAGCAATAAAAACTTCCCCACCTTTACTAAATACTGTTTTTACTATATGTTTCAATGTAAACACTTGATCTAACATCCCTACCCACCTTTAAATTCCCCCTTTTCACTGCAATTCTACATTCTTCTTTTTCCCCTAATTCTTTAATTATAACCCACCCTATACTTTTTCCTGTAAACTCAATAAACTTTTTCCCCTATAAATTTTTTCAATCTCTTTTGTCCCCTTTCTTTTTTTTAAAGGGACTATACATGGGTCCCCCCATCCCTAGGCCCTTCCCCTTTTTCTACATTTATTAAACAAAATACCAACCACCCACACTAATCCCCCCCCGCTTTTAAAACATTTTTCATGATCCATCATTTTAGCGCTTTACCCCCTTTCTTTTCGTAATGCCTCACGTACCTCCACCACACTTTTATTTTTGGGGTCTTCCTTTTCCCCCTAAAAAAATGGTATACCCCCTTGCCAGTGCATGAAAATTTCCGCCTCCCCTTTTTTCCCCCAACATTAAAAGTTCCTAAAATTTTTTCCCCTTACCTAATACCCCCCTTTCCCCCTCTATAACTCCCCCCCTTGCTTTTAATGACAAAACCTATTTCCCCAGCTTTCTTAAATTGTTTAACTCCTCCAAAATTTTTTTTATTTTCATTAAAAATTTTTTGACATGCCTCTCCCACTCTTTTCCCCTCCCCTCCTTTTGCACTCTTCACCCCTCCTTCACCTTCTTTTACTCTCCATATACGCTCTTCTTATAACCTTCTACTTTTTAAAAACCTCTGTAAGTACATTTTCCTTTTTTCACACCCTTTTCTTCTTTATTCCCCCAATCATCCTCTTTTTTCCTGCCCCCCCCTCCATACCAAAAACTTCGCCCCCCATTCTAATACTGCATTTTTTTAAAAAATATTCCAACCCTCTTAACCCCCCCACCTCATCTTTGCACTAGCCACCCTTTTGCCAATATCGCTTATATCTCGCCCGAACTTCCTCCTCCCTTGTTTATACACTTTTTACCTCCTCTTACTTGTTGTTGCCAAACCTTTCTTTTTTTTACCCTTTTCTCAACTGTACTAAAAACAAAATAATGATCCGATATATCATTTGCCCCCCCTATAAACATGTACATCCTGGGCCTCCCCATAAAACCTTTTTTTTCCACCAATACAT